AGGGAATGAATGTAAATGAAAAAAAAAAATTCAGAAACAAAAAATGCCCTAAAAAAAAAAACCCCCCAAAAAAAAAAAAAAAAAGAGAGAAACTCACAATATCTATCAAGTTCATTGAACACCTATTAGGTGCCTCACACTGGCATGAGTCAGGCTTGCCAAGAGGAGTAAGAAGTGACCTTATTCTTTAAAATGTTAGAAATGAAGACAGTGAAGTAAACTGTGCAGTTCAGTGCCTACCAATAATAGTATAAATGTGTGGGTCAAGGAGCAGGGACAAAGGTAAGTATCGCGAGGAGGGAGTGCGCATGTGTGCCGGATCAATGAGAACGAACCATGCTTTGTCCGCTCAGACAGAGGGGAAGACATGTGGGGATAAAATGGGGCTTGCAGAGTAGGAGCTTGGAGGGGCATGGCAGGGAGACGATGCTGGAACCATCCTGGGACGGTGAATTCAGGGGCAGGTAGCGACATGTCATGGAAGTTTGCCTGCAAAGTTTGAACCTGATGCTCTGGGTTAGAGTTGCTCATTCCTGGGACCCCAAGAGTCCCCTGAAGGACACAGCCCTCGAGAGAGTTGAGGCCAGGGGAGTGCAGGATAAAGTAGTTTTGCCTTTTCCTCTTTGTTTTTGTTTTTTTTTTGCTATTGGGCGCTTGTTAGAGGGAAGCACTGATGATCCACCCTGACTATGTTCTCACTTAGTCCACTGTTGAAAACAGAGACATACCCTGGATAATTTTACCTCCAATTTTTACAGCCTGTTTGGTGATAAGGAATTCTTTCAAGCATTATTATTTTTCCAAAGTTCCATCTGGCTTGTTCTAGGGCCTGATGGAGTGACCTATCACCTTACCAATGTTTGTAATTTGTCAGAATAAACTTCTGAGGTTACCAGCGATCTCTTTGTGGACTTTGACATGGGGCCTGGGAGTGTGACAGGAAAGAAATTGTAACTGGACTCGCCTGGCTCTGTACCTCCCAGGGCTTGGTTATAGCAGACAAGTCACAAGCCGTCATCATCATTGCCCTTAGGAAGAAAACAAAATTTGTTCAAATAGAAAGATACAATTTTATTTTTTTGGCCAAAAGAGAAATACCATTTTGATTACTCACATGATAATCTCTTTTTTGGTTGGATCAATGGTTACATATTTGATGGCTTCTTCTTCAGTATTCATTTGTTCACAGGCATCAACAATTTTTTGAAACATGGTTCTTTTCCTAGAAGAGAGAATAAGGCTGTGCAATAACTGTAGCGTATAAAAACAGGGTGAAAGGTATCAGAAATGCACGTTTTTAGACTTCGTGTTCCCGCTTTGCATTGAGATGCCCACATGGCAGGCTCTAGGGGGCGACGGGAAGACAGGGAATGATGCAGAAAGGGCTTAAGACAGAAAATGTATAGATCACAGAGGGGGGAAAGAAACGGATAAATTTGAATACATTAAAACTAACAGTTACATATGAGATAAAGAGACCATAACATAAACATGGAGGTCACAGATTGTGGGAAGATACTGCAGCACATATGACCAACCAAAACTGAGAACCCCAACACAGCAGTGCTTGATCGCATTGTTCATCCAGAAGACACAAACTTGAGCAATAAGGCACTATCTGACATTCATTTCATACCAGGATAAATTTGAAATGTCCCCAGGTCAAGAGGATTTCCAGTATGGGATAACAGAAGTCCTGGACACTGAGGTGGATGTGTAAATTGGCGTAACTACTCAGAAGTGCAGTTTTGTAACGTGACATTAACTGAAAATATACAAGCCCCAGAGCACTCTCATTTCTAGAACGTGCCACGAAGTCACTCATACGTGTACAAGGACATACAGTGTGGCATTGTAGGCAGTGATGACGAATTGGAAACCATCTACATGCCCATGCATAGAAGAATGGGTAAATTAATGATGTATTCAACAGTTGACTGCTTTCTACAGTTAAAATGCATGGTCTGCAGTTATTACTAAGAATAAATCTTGGAAACATAATGGTCATATGAGAAAAACAAGTTGCAGAAAGGATTGACAGACAGTATATGATTTATGATTTATGGAAAGTTTTAAACCATACTAATACCATATACAAACATGGATGGAGAAGATGAATACAGATCAACCTCAGATATGAGTATCTTTTGGGGAAGAAGGGAAAAGATTTTCAAAGTGAGGTTGGGGTGGAATGCCTCAATTGTATTGCTAATCTTTCCTCTTTAAAAAAATGAGATCTGGAGGCCAGCAGGTGGCGTGGTGTTTAAGGGCTCTGGAGTCCCACATGGCCAACTGCAGTTTGAGTCCTAGACCTGGCGGCTTGCTTGCTTAGTTTCTTTCTCTCACTTTGTCCCTCTCAAATTAAAATAAATAAATAAAGTTAAATAAAATAATTCTTAAAAAAAAGAAATGAGACCTCTTTACCTCTGTGGGCCAGTGGTTAAGGGGGCTGAATTCCACATGGCCAAAAATGGAGTTCAAGTCCCAGCCCTGGTAGCTTGAAAAAATACACCAGGCATGGGTGTATGAATACCCTAGATGCTGATGGAAAAGTGGAGGAGATACTGTGGTGTGAACACACCCTCTGGAGGATGCTTTCTCTCTCACGCTCTCTCTCTGGAAAGTACATTCACCCTCTGGCAATTAACAAAAAATGAGATGAGATCTGAAGGAAATATGGCAAAATTTAGCAGTTGTTGGAAATGGGTTATGACTTGGGTGTCCATTATATTCATCTATTTGTCTTTGTGTTTCAACTATTTAATAATTAAATGTTTAAGGAGGATCAGAAAGGCATAATGTGACAATGCCCAAGTCACTGGTATTTGGCTTCTATAACTAGTTCACGTTGTTCTGTTCCATTTTCACCAGACGACTTTATAGTTCACTTATAAGAAAATACGTGGCTACTCAGAGTTCCTGGTCTCCTTGGCAGTATTTATTGTACACAGGCCAGAACTCTGCTGTGTGTGACGGAGGATCATGAATTGGATCAATGTGCATCAGTGTCACCAAGACTATTAAACTTCAAATGCTAAGTACCAGATTCTGAACCATACTGCATTAGCCAGGAGGAAAAACAACCATCTTATGAGGTTTCTTGGCCTTATTTTTCTGACAGTGCACAAACTTTACAGCATATTCTTCTATTCAAACTTTTTCAGATAACAAACGACTTAACCTTAGGGGCCTACGTTTTTAAAATGTGTTCCCAACTGTCTCATAAATCCACTGCCAGGCATCTATCTTGGGAGTGTTCTGACTGATAGTCTAGAAGTAGAACAAGCAAGAACATGCGTGCGTGCGTGTGTGAGTAAATGCCTTTCCACTTCAGTGCACTAGTTGATTTGTGGGAAGTAGACCCACACAGAGTTCACGGCATCTGCTGTGCAGAATTGTGTACTTACTTGAAGTACAGAGCCAGGTCCGTTGCTATTATGGCAACCTCAAACAGATGCATAACTGTTTCGTACTGCCGCTTATTCAGGTTCTGGAAGATGTTTAAGCTCTGTAGGATGAAAATTCACAGTAAAGTGCGGTCACTGATCTGTCTGGGATTCAACAAACAAACCGAACTCTGTGTAATGAGATGAAAATCTATGTCTGTTTCAAAACTTTTTGCTTCAGTTTTTATGTTATGGATTAAGTAAACTCCCCTATTACATTACTTTGAATAAAAAAATTTAGATATAAAAATAGATACTGTTATCAGATACTCACATAATCAGTGTTCAAATTTTCAGAGTGGATTAGAGTGTTTATTCCAGGACCATTAAAAAAATAAAAATAGGACCACCTCGTGGCATGGTGGTTAAAGCAGCTAGATCCCACATGGTCAACTGCAGCTTGAGTCCCAGATCTGGTGGCTTGAGAAACACGCTGGGCATGTGTGCACACGCAAATCCTGAAGGGAGAAATGGAGGAGGAGGGATTGCAGTGTGACCATTCTCCATGAGGAGTGCTCACTCATACACTCTCTCTCCTTTCTTCCCTCTCTCTCCAGCAAGCACTTGTGCCTTTTGGCAAAAATTATACAACAACAACAAAAGCACAATAAATTTAAAATTCGCTTGTATTAATTGAAGAGCTTTAATAATGGATTTCTGGGAGAGACCCAATGGTTAGACATGTTGCATTTCTCACCAGGTAATTTCAGAGTGATAGCAGAAACCATTGGTCTTTCAGACACTTCAAATTATACCAGCCCTTGCGAATATTAAGGGAACAAAATTCATGTTACCCTTAAATTTTTTTCTTGCAATTATATTATAAAAAGGCTTTTTTACTGGACCTTTCTTCAAAGAGTCTCTTGTTAATAATCTCTCTTTCTTTTTTTTTTTTGAGAGGTTTTTGCTATAGGGCGTATGCGCTCACCAGACAGATAGACAGAAAGCGAGAAATCACCCCCAGGGGGGATGGCCATGCCGCAATCCCTTCTCCTCCGTTCTCCTCTCGGGATCTTGGGCACACACTCACACGCACCTGGCGTGAGTTTTAAGCCACCGGGTCCGGGACTCGAACCGCGGTCGACTACATGGGAGTCCAGCGACATAGCCATTAAGCTAACTGCTTTGCTATAGGGCGTATGCGCTCGCCAGACAGATAGACAGAAAGCGAGAAATCACCCCCAGGGGGGATGGCCATGCCGCAATCCCTTCTCCTCCGTTCTCCTCTCGGGATCTTGGGCACACACTCACACGCACCTGGCGTGAGTTTTAAGCCACCGGGTCCGGGACTCGAACCGCGGTCGACTACATGGGAGTCCAGCGACATAGCCATTAAGCTAACTGCTGGTCCCAGTAATCTCTTCATATATGGTTTGGTTTAATTTCCTAGTGTTCTAGAAGAGGAGTATAAAACCGTGAGTGGCATTTACAAGCCCCAATATTCCAGATGGTCCATTTTAGTCACACAGGTCAGAGAACAGATGTGCAGTGGTTGTGTCAAGTGAAGTTGGCAGTTACAAACTACTGAAAAATCCCACCAGAAAGAAAGAGGAGTCTTCACCTGTATTGGGTTGGGTCGCACAATGCAGCCAAACAATACTCGACTAAGCACCAAATAATAAGACCAAACTCTTACTGAGTTCTTATTGCCTACCTGCTTCGAAGTATTTTATGAATACACTTAATCCCCTCACAACAAACCATAGCACACAGAGGTTAAGTAATTAGTTGAAGGTCAAACAGCTAGAACATGGCAGAACTGATATCCAAACTAGTGAAGCATGCCACCAAGTCTGCTCTTAATCCCTGCACTGCCTCAGCAGGGAGCTCAGGGGCAGCGGCTGGCTCCAACACCTGGTGGATACATGATCCTGGACATTTCCCTTAACATCTGTATTTGTTTTCTCACATGGGGATAACAACAGCTGTGCTGCCAAACTGCCTAGCATTTAGTCCACGTGCTAAACAAATATTTGCGGAATAGCAAATCAAATGAAATAATCACTGTGAATGCATGTCAAAGCTGCAAAGTGTTATAGGTGTTCATCACTGCTGTGTCATTATTATTATATGTATGGCTGTGAGGCTAGCATCAGGTTCAAATAGAACCACAACCCCAAGTCTACATGTGGCTCTCAGTCCAGGGATTAAATATTAGAAAGCAATAACTGAACAAGAACTCAAGTTTTAGATTCTGTACTGAACACTATGTAGAACTTCACTTAACACTTTATAGCATCTTCCAGGACAAGAAAGACGATCTCTTACTAAGCATACAGAAGGAAGAGGGAAGCTAGGGTGAATGATGAATTCACCATAGCAACCCTAGTTAGCTCACTTAATCTGGCTGTGATTTTGGTATGATGGTGACCTTCCCTTTGGGCTGATGGATATTCAGTATATATGTACATGTGTTCATTTCTTCATTTGTTCACTGGTGCACATTCTAGAAATGATGTGTCTAAGGGATGCAGATATGTGACATTGTAGATTAATTACTCTGAAAGTCAACCTGGAATGCAGTACTAGAAAAAAAGGGGTGTATATGTGAAAATGCCTTAAATTTTTGGACAAATTAATATTTATAGCACATGTAATTATTTTAAAAAGCCAAATAGACTGTTGAATTCAAAGAACTAGTCTGTTAGGACAGAGACTTTCTTGCCTCTACCAAGTGTCAAATTGAACAGAGTAAATAACCTACAACTAACACCAATACATCAATGTTTATTATGCTCCAATTATTTCTGGGCATGTTGCTGGTATTTGTAAACTCGGACACCTGTTGCTATTTGATAAGCATATGAGTGTGAAAGAAAAAGTTATATATTAAGTGAGATCCAGAAATAAATACAACCAATACTGTTGTATTTATTTAAGTCAAATGTATTTTTAATCCAAAATATTAAACAGCTACATAAAAGTTAACAGATTAGCAAAAGTTATTTTACTTTACAAAATGAATCAATGCTAGATTTTAAAAAATTGGCATAATTAAGAATATGGGTTTGACATGCAACTTGTCAGTACTGTTTTCTTTCATATAAGACAATATATCTGAATTTCAGTATTTTTCTTCTTACTCATTTTTACTTTCATCTATAAAAATTTATAACTCTTCTAATTTATTTTTAAAGAGTTATTTTATTTATTTATTTATTTATTATTATTATTATTATTTACTTTGTTCAGAGAGAGAGAGAGAGGGAAAGTGAGAAAGCAAGTAGCCAGATCAGGGACTCAAACCATAGTCAGCCATGTGGGAGTTCAGCACCTTAACCACCATGCCACCTGCCAGCCCGTTAAATCTCCCAGTTAAAAAATCCTTTTTTAACTCTACATTCTTTTATAATTTCTTTTTTAATTCCTTCCACACCTGAAGTTCTTAAAAGAAAAGCTTCTGATTGATTTCTTTTTTAAGTTATGAAATAGAGTCATAGTTATAGGAAGCTCTTTCCCAGATCTGTGGCTAGTGTCTAATAAATGTTCGTACCTCACTTATACGTTTCAGGTATGTTTGGCCTTTTAATTTTATTTTTTGAAACTCCATTAAATCCTCTTTGGAACAAATTGAGGATTACACACACACACACATACACACACACAGAAAGTTGTTGTCATTGTTTTGTTAGTTTGTTTAAAGTTAGTAAAAGCAGATCCAGTGAGTCTCTGGAGTAAGAGGTCTCGGAATGTGGACAGCACATGGCACCCAGGATGTCCCTCTGAGACCCAGCAGTGAGGAGTACTGATGGAAACGTCTATACTAATAGAATCCCTGTGACTGCTGCTGCTCCTTCTGCCTTGAGTAACAAGAGGGGAAGGGGTGAATACTGACAGCCACGGCCAGATCTCAAAAACAGAGCACCTGCAGCTTAATGGGCTTGGCTCAGAGCTTCCCAACTTCTGGAAGTTCCTGAATGAAGTAACAAATGGCGAGGGCATGTTTGAGCCAACCAAGCAGAAGCTTAGGCTTTCCCCATCTCCTCTTTGCCCCCCATTACCTGCCCCAGCATTACCAGCAGAAAGCTGGCTCCACTCAGCAATGAGTAAGTTTCCAAAGGGAACAAGCAAGAAATCTCTGCATAAAGACCAAGAGAACACAAAATAACCTGTAGGCGCAGTGCAAATCCTATCCAAATACTGAAAGTTAGTGTAGGTTTGTAAATTTACAAACATCTAAAATCCATTTGCAAAAGGTTGATAAATGTTGGACTAACTTTAAAGTTGAATTAAGAATAAGCAATGGTGGGAATGATAGAGCAAAATGTAACATTTACAGGTAATGATAATGGTAAAATAAATAATAGAATGATAATAAATAGTTCATGAAACAGAAGTGGAGATGTGGGGAAGGTTTAAGAATCTTAATTGCGCTCCCACCCAGGAGGAGCAAGGGGCAGGCCTTCAGAGGAAGACTCCTCCGTGGCTTCTGAGAACTAGTGGTTTCAGGGAAAAAGAGAAATGAAGATTTTCTACTAATAATTCAGCCTCCAGCCCACAAACTGGAGTGATGGATCTAAGGGAAGCAGAGCCAAACATCCAAATACTATTAGGGTTAACATATTCCTCAATATCTACTGAATCTGCTGCACAAAAGGGATAAAGATGGAACGGCAAAGATATTTCAAATCACCTCCTGCACGCTCCTGAAGGCTCAGATTGAACTTCAAGAATTAGGAAGAAACACACCATCCGTCAGATGATGAGAAATCACCACAGGGCCACAAGAAATATGAGAAAGCAAGAAAATACCTCTCCTCCAAGGGAAAAGAATAACTCCTCTTCATCCACAGATAGTTCAGTGGAAATCATGGAAATGTCTGATAAAGAATTTAGAATATTCATGATGATGAAGCTAACAGAGATGGAAGAGAAGAGAGACAATGAACTGCAGAAGAGGCAGGAGAAAGGAGCTGACGAGTTCCAAGAGGTGAGGAAATTCTTGCAAGATCTAAAAGAGGAATTACACACTTTACAAAAGAATCAAAGGGACCTGTTAGAGATGAAAGCTATAATACAGGAAGTCAAAGTCTCCTTTGAAAGTATTAAAAGCAGACTAAAT